AAATTTAATTATGGAAGATTGTTTTAATAGAAGTTTTGCTGGAGTTCATGGTATCATTTATTTTTTTGTTCTCTTTTCAATTTAATCTTTGTTGTTTTTTTAGGAACAATATATGGTGGTGGTGTTTATTTTTCATCAAATGCATCTTTTTCTCATCAATATACAAAGCCAAATGCACTAGAAGAACGATGTATGTTTCTCTCTCGTGTTCTTATTGGAAAAACAACAATAGGAAATAGTTCAATGAAAACTCGACCACTTGGATTCGATTCAACAACAGATGGAAATCATATTTTTGTTACTTATCATGATGCACAAGCATATGCTGAATATTTAATTATATATAAATCTAAATAATATTTCGATTTTATATTAATCTGTACTTCAGCAAATGTTTTATTTGAACCATAAATAAATCTGTTTTGTTTTTTTTTTGTTGAAAAGATTAATCTATTCTCTCATCAATTTTATTGTTGCTGGATATTTGTTCTTAAAAAAGAAATTACTTTGATCTTAAGAATTTACATTAATGAAGTTATTATCTATGAACACAATGATTTGCGTATCCATTAATTATTATTTTTTTATCATAATTTTATTTTATTGTTGATGTTGCATACTAATTAGAATGAAAAAAATATAAATACACTAAGAAGTATTTTTTCCTAATATTTCAATGAGTAAAATTAAGAGTAGAATAATAAAAAAGTATGAAGAAATATGTGTAATCTTGAGATTTGAATTAATATCAAATAATGAAAAATTTTTGTGTCGTATAATCTTTAAATGATTTATTTTTTGTTTTATTATATGTAGGGGAATTTTCGATCTTTAATAATCATTATCAACCTATACCAATACAAATAACAGAGCTTTCAAACAGAAAAATAGAAAGAAATGAGTGATGGAATAATTTTAATGTATATCTAAACATCATAATCTTTAACATCATAAAAGCTTGAGTATTACTTTCTTTAGGTTGAAAAAGTGTTATTTGTATTAAATTTTAGTATTATCCATAGCATATTGTCTCACATATGATGAATTGTATTGTACATGATGTATTATATTCTACACAGTGTATTCTATCAGACATGGGTATGATATTATTATCTATGGTATACTGTATTATACACGACATATGATATTATTATATATAGTGTCTGTATTATACATTGTTCAAACGTATTATATAATTATCTATGATATATCTAAAATTAATACTGGACTCCATAGGTTATGATGTTTAGATATACATTAAAACTATTCCATCACTCATTTCTTTCTATCTTTCTGTTTGAAACATCAGCTATTTGTATTGGTATAGGTTGATAATGATCACTATAGATCGAAAATTCCCCTACATATAATAAAACAAAAAATAGATCATTTAAAGATTATATTACACAAAAATTTGCATTATTTGATAATAAAAAAGTGACAAATTTTACATGAATGATTCCTATTACTTTTACACATTTGTCAGTTGCGGGTTTAGTAAATATTTAGCATAAGAACATTACAAAAATAATGAATTGTATACAAATATAGAAAAAAGAAAGGGGAATGTTAATATACTACTGAACAAAAGTAACGATGCCATATAAAATTTACCAAAGATTTCCGTATTAAAGATAAAATTTTTATCACAAATAGAGCTCAGTAGACTCTTATTGTAGACCTAAACTCACATTCAATAGAATCACAAATAATAGAGTTGGAAGTCAAATATTACTTTGACCTTAGAACATCCGACTCTATACCATCTTCACTTGTGCGAGAACATTCATTCATTAGCTGGACATCTAACCTTTCTACTTGGAATTTTTTATGGAAAATTACCACCGTCTTGTTGAATTCTATATTTGTATTTAAAAATCGTTTGTCACAGACATATCAGTATCTATAGATAAATCGACTACAAATTACATCGATTTCAGCTGTTTCTGCTAAAGATTCATTTTTGAAGGATCCTCAATAGTTGAGCAAATCTATCTAGAAATTAGAGAGCGATAGGTACGATTGAATAGAAGTTATCAAACAAACTTAATGTCAATAGTGCAACATGTTGGCTTCTTAATTCAACGGATATATTTAAGTCGAAAAGACAACAATGAAAATGATGTTGAGAAATGTTTTAATTGATAAATCAAGTACTAAGTGTCTAATTTGTAATATAGAAATGTCGTTTAAATTCTTTGAGATCCCAAAGTATAATGAGCCTTGCATTGATAGCATCAAGAGTTTTCGATAAATTCTATTCATCAATAGGTATTATTCTTTAATTGCAAGGGAATACTTCCCTAATTATTGAGAATTCTTCAAAAAACAAAATTCAGAAGGAAAACGTTCGCATTTGTCTGATTTATAGTCAATTTATCAGTAGACACTTATATGCTTATGACAAGCAATTCTCAAATACAAGCATAGAACTTAATAAGACAAAGGTGAATTTGCACAAAAACTTCATGCTAGAAAAACCAAATGTTTACCCAATGAATGAGAATTCTCGTTCAAATAAAAGGATGTGGGGTGTGAATGTGAATGTGAGTATGGATGTAGGTCCGGGTGTTGGGCGTGGGTATCGGCGTGATTGACCAGAGCCCCACCTACACCTACACCCTACCCTAGTTGATCCCGATTGTAATCGCATTATCTAATCTTGGGGTTTTTCACAGCATCAAATACCGAGAGTATAGTTATAGCTATAGCTGCGATTCATGCCATCAGTTTTCTTGTAAAGATAGTCTTTCACAAAGCCGCAGTTTTTGATATTGATGTGCATACATTGTGCACCAGTGTCTCTATACAGCTCATGCAGTACATATTGCAGTATGATAGAATGTGTAACGACGAGAGTGTTGTGCGTAAATGTTTTTAAGAAACTTGAAAGAAATTTGTTAGTTCATCTCTTAGTACAAAGTGACATTGTGACAATGGGACTTGTAATAGTTCACTACATCGCCCCTCGAAGGGCAACTCACCTGGGCTCGGAAATATTTCAGGTGGGTCTGGGATCCTGAGCTAGGTCAGCTGACTCAAGCATACTTAGATTAAGCGCAGTGCACTATAGTCTGAATAAACTGCGGTTTTCACCGATTGTAAGTAACTGCGAAAGTCAGGTCATTTATTCGATTTTTGACAACCGGTGAAAACCGTGGTATCGAGACATTGAGGTAACTAACGGTTTCAAAAAACCGAATAAACAGTCTGACTTTTGCGGTTTTTAAAAACTGCTGATAACCGCGGTTCATCGTGGTTTTATCTTCAAAAATTTTTCCATCGATATTATGTATATGAGAATAAACACACTCAAATGAGATAAACTTAGTATTGTGAATCAAGTAGAACATTTGTCAATAATTGCAATTTGGACTGTAGTTATTTTAAGTATTAGAAGCTTGTTAAATGATCGCTGGTTTTCATTCTCTCTAGCCAATCCATGAGTTGATCTGAATTTTTAAATATTTATTCATCCGAACACCCAGTTCGTCAGTACTTTAGATATGAAACTTGAGTTTCTTAGTATACAAAGAATAGATAATAAATCTTCTAATGACAGAATATTTATTGCTTTACTATTATATGACTGACTATCGTAAATGACACTTGAGAATTTAACTATCTAATATATGAGACAGAAGAAATTCATATTGACATTTTTTCAAAACAAAAAAGAATACTTAAAGTACAAAGGCAAATAGAACAAATGTGGTTAGATTTCGAGTTTCGAGAGAACTAGTAGAAATTGTTTCATAGTTTAAGAAGGCAATCTTGTCCTAAAAATTACTATAAATCTTCTATGTAGTAATTGTTTTTCAGGGCTCGATACTAAACATTTACAGGGTGTCCAAAAATTTTGCACTCATAAATGGTTTTTCGCATAACTTCACTATTGATTGAACTTTATCAACTGATTTTCTTTCGTATAATAAGTGAAATCATCAAGGTTTTATTTCTATAGACAACCATTGAAATTTCTCTTTAAAATAGCTGCCATTAGTTGAGTTATAAAAATTCAACCTTTTTTCTGATTCCATAATAATATTTTGTCACATTTCTTTTTTAACTGTTTGACTCTGGACTTGATATTATCCGATTTCTTTTTACGAAGAAACATCAAAACAAATTTATAAAAAACGATTGTTTAAGATTTGAACAGTTCAAAGATCCGAATTTCGATATAACCATTTTTAGACTTTAAACGCATCCCTGAGCGTCTACAAGCTATTCAACTTGACGCGTTTGAACGCGTTCAAAATGCAACATTTTTAGGCGTGTAAACGCTTTCAAAAACTGAAACGCATGTAAACTGGTCTACGTTGAAGAAGGATTACGACGCGTTTTCAGATTTTCCTGCGTTTGAATGCGGTCATGAGATAAATGCATTTTTGATGTGTCTCATTTTCTCTCAAAAAAAAAAAATTAAATAACCATCACACTGTGTCGAGATCGAACTGACACACCATAGTGAACTATGATATTGTACTCAAATCCTGTAAGCAACAGAGTGATAGTTTTTCCGATGACAGCTTGAACCAAGATTTGAATACATGAACAGTTGATTACAAGCTGAACCCAATTAGTTCTGAGCCATACACATCTCGAACTTGTTTCTATGTTCATTAATCGCATGAATAGCTCGTATTAAATTACCTTTACAATTTCGAGAACAGACCTGTTGATTTATTTATTTGCCTTGATGAAATAAATACAAATAAGATATTTATCGTCATAAAATCAAGATAAATACATTCTTTATATTTATAAAACAATGATAAAAAGCAAAAAATTTCATTATTTAAAAAATAAAAATTACAAAATAAAGAAAGATCTCCCTCTATTATGAATAAATTGCAAAGTAAGTGATATAACAGCATAAATTAACTACTTTTCTTATTAGTAGCGTTTCAATCTATGAAAAAAATTTTGTCAATTTACTTTTTTGTAATTACAATATCAAAGTTTTTTATAGTATCTGCAAACAATAAAGTATTAGTTTTTCATTTAAAACGCCTCCCGTTTTATCTAACTTTCATCTTTTTTTAAGTAATAGCAATTTTTATTGTATTTATTTTTATTGCATAAATATAAAAGTTCTATTTTTATCCCATGTTGTTTCTTTTTTTAGCAACTGCGGCTCAGTTACGCGTAGCTATGAAAAAACAACCGCAGTCGTTAAAAAAGAGGCAACATGGGATTCATTCTTTATTATAGATAACAATAAAAATAAATCAACAAATCTATTCGAAAAAGTGCTTCTGAAATTAAGATAAAATGAAATAGTTGAAAATAAAAGTGACATATTCATAAAATTTATTCATTTGTCTAGGTAAGAGATGATGACATTTATACCA